GGGCACTGGTGTCTGGGCGTGTGGGCTGCGCGCGCGCGGCCGGTGGTGGAAGATTCGGGGTGTCAAACCTCACACATACGGCGTTCGAGGCTCTAGCGGCATGAGGCAGGCTCGGAGGAGATCAGGTAACAGACGAGTCCATGTGTCGCGACGGCTAAATGCTCGGAATTGGGGTTATCCGGATGTCTTTGTGGCTTCTGTGGCCAGCTGGTTGGGAGACTTAGCACCAGGCGGCGGTGTATTGGCTATCGACATCGCTGGTACAGAGGCTGAGGCCGGCCGCTGGATGATGATCCGAATGAAGTGTCCCAGGTGCTGTACCTGGGCATTGAGCATGCGTGACGGGAATGTACGTTCCTTTCTGGCAGGCGCTCAATGTGAGCGGTGGAGATCAGCTATTCGACGCACTCCGTGCCGTGGCCTCTCTGGAGTGAGCTCTGTGGGATGGGCCAAAGTGAGACCCGGTGGCTTTTAAAGTTGTGTGAGGTGGAGGGGGGGGGGGGGGGGGCAGGTAAAGTTTCAGTGTTTCAAATTAATACCTCTAGCATTTAAATTCGAGGCTGTCATTGTACTGTGATTGAGGCAATTTATTGGGCGTGTGTTTGTGTATAGTAGTAAAAACTAACTTACTCAATTCGAATCCTGTTTGAACGAGGTAAACGAAACAATATACATATGAGATGAGCATATCTTATATTTCCCCTCCTGGTGCACTGTGCAGGAGCTGCTTTGCGGTAATCGCTAAATGAGCTATTCTGTGACCGCATATCCCACCCATGTGGCAGTTGGAGCCAATGAGCGTAGCACATAGTATCTGAACAACCATGCGTTGGCAGGTATCGTTAGCGTTCCCAGGTATTTCACAGGGACGGCTGGCCAACAACGCAAGAACTTGACGTTTTTATGTTCAGGCGTTTTCACTGTTTTCATTTTGGACTGGGAGAACGAGTCCCAGGCAGCCGGGCTCCCCATAGACATGATGAGACCTTTAAGTTCGTATTTCATCCCGGTGAAATATACGTTGTTTTCTTTTCAGCTCCTATTTGGTGACGCTTACTCTAGGAAGTTCACGGCGCTCTTGAAACAAAAGCTGCGCGGAGTGTTACGACAAAGGCGGATTGATCATTCTGCCTGAAGAAGGCTGAATAGTCGCGTTGGGAGTGGAGCGGTTCGTGGGTGCAGTCTGAATCCAAGTCGGGAACTGGCCATGAGATTGAATCTTGAGTTGTGCCTGTGGGGAGTGCTTTTGACTTGAACTTGCCAGACTAAGCAAGCAGGTTTCATCACCTCTCAGCGCTTATTGAGTGTGGTTCGGCTGAACATTGACGTGGAGTGGTGAAGTTACAGGTCGTACACGTGTTGTAAGAATCACATTGATATATCTGGCAATGGAGTATTTGAAGCATGCCATTGAGGTGCTGAAAGACCCACACTTAGTTGCGAGTTTTCAACGGTACTTTGGCATCCGAGAGACCTCATATCCAGAGGCTCCTAAAATATGCAAGAGGAACGGAAGAGTGTATGACCGGGATCTCAGCCCTGTTAATCATGTGAGCCTGAAAGGCAGTGCACAAGTAAAACCCCTGAGTCAGGACCCAGTATGCAATGCAGATGGCATCCATATGACCCATCCTGGCAGAGTGGAAAAGCAAAGATCTCAGAGTCCTGCAAGTGAAGATGATACTTCTGGATCTGATTCTGCTGGATCACAAGCAAGGTCAAGAATAAAAAACTTCTTCTTCAAGTCCATGGTAGCAGATGGAGAATACACAGATTCTGATGTTGAAGTGAAGAACTTCATTATCACAAAACCTTTGTGGCATTCCCTTTTCTTGTTTGGGAGTGCCCTAGGAGATGAGCTGTTTTATGCCACATTTTTCCCATTGTGGTTCTGGAACATTGATGGGGCAGTTGGGAGAAGAGCTGTTCTTGTCTGGCTAGGCATCATGTATCTTGGTAAGTTGGCCTATCCATTAGCTTCATTCTACAGTTGATTCTGCTGTTACATTATACCAAACATTGATCCCATGTGGGGATCCTGAACCTCATATGATCAATCAGTGATTAGGTCTGAATCTTGGACCTCAGGATATATTGTTGTCATTGGCACCTCTGCACATACTGAGAGATACAAATAAGCACATGTTGACAGTGACTTGTAGACCTTTGACAGTAGGTTGTACATATACTATGCTCAGATATATGTAGACCCTAGGTGTAAGTCCTGGATTCTGAGAGGTTCATGCACTGTCTAGATGATAGCTTGGCTGTAAATGTGTTGTCTAACACAACAAAATGTAAATGGTTTGATCTACATGATTTTTATATATGAATCCATTTTTAATATTCCACACATGTACCTAATATGGGGAAATGTGTTATTGTATTCCTTTTTCCAGCTGATGGATAGGTTGTGCCATGATTGACCCCTGTCCTATATCTTTTATGTTGGAAAGTGTTATAAACCATGATTTTCCAGGCCAAGCTTTGAAGGATATAA